AGCCAGAGCCATCAACACTTCAAGCAACATACCTATAGTCTCCATTGTAGTTCCTTTTTGGGGTTACCTTATAGGATCCATAATATGAACTTGGTTAAACCAAAAAAAGGAACTACAATGGAGACTATAGGTAATCCTTGCTTTACTGTGACAGCACTCATCGTCTATTGCTCCTGCAGGAGGGTGCCCGGGTGGATGTCCGACGCTTCAGGGACAACAGGCGCGGTGAGTGTGCAAGTTTACACTTGTGGGTTCAAGGGCTGTGAAAGGAAAGCAGAGTTTCGGTTCGATTTGTAATGTTTGCGCAGTTTAGGAGGGTTGCAGGTGTTGTACGGTTGTACGCTTTGGATGTTCTTGGGTGGCACGCTTCGCTTCGTCTTGGAACAGCACGCCGTCGCATTTCCAATGCTACATGATTTTGCAAGGAAATATTTCACATAGCCTCACAACTCACAACCCATCACATCTGCTATGCACCCACACGCACAACCACGAGCCGCAGATGCTGCCCAAAACCGTCCAGCCCCAATCCGAAACCCTTTTCGCGGGAAGCTCCGAGCCCTATAGCCACTGAAACCCTCAAGCAGCCATGAACGCCTATGAACCATACATAAACAAACCCTCAAAGCCCGAAACCGTCGAAACCGGCAGCAAAAGAAACATTGAAACCAAGAACCACCTAACCCTAAACCCTCAGTGGATTCCCTTCGGGGATCATCCGATAAAATTGGAACGATACAGAAAAGATTAGCATGGCCCCTGCGCAAGGATGACATGCACAAATCGAGAAGTGTACCAAGAGTCGAAACCCTCAGTGAGTGCCGGAACTGCAAGCGGTCCTTTTCCTGCAGGCAGCTCCGAACGTTCACGGTGCCAGCGCTTCGGCGACGATGGACAGCGCTGCACTTGGCAGCCGCCCGTGGTCACCTGAAGGCCTGAGTGGGTTCAGAATCTTTGCAGATTGCGTTTGGGTTTATGGTTTGGAATTGGGGAGTCTCTGGAAGGGCTCTAAATTAATATATATATATATATATATGTATACATATGTATATATATATATATGTACATACAGAGGGTTCTATGAGGGTTTAGGGGGATTTGTCGGTCAGTGTTTGGGCTTTCGAAGAGCACGCAACTCGCAAAGGCTTGCTCCAGATTCCAGACTCAATGTCCGAGCCGAGTTGAGAGTCGAAAACGAAGCCACTCAAAAGCCTAAACCCTGGACCATCCTAAACCCTAGAAACCCTAAACCCTAAACCATCCTAGACCCTAAACCCTAAACCCTAAACCTCGCTCAGCCATGTAGGAGGCAAAAAAACCCTAAACCCTAAAACCCTAAACCCGGAGCCCTGCGCAGGTTGTCCAAGTGCTCTTGGAGGGCGCAGGGCTGCTGAACTCCGCTCGGCCATCTTCCCCGGCAGCTCCTCAGTTTGTCTTGGCGGGTCGGTTTTGGGCTCTAGGGCCTAAGGTGTAGAGTGTTCCTCTAAGGGTTCTATAGGGGTTTAGGGTTTAGGGTCTACTTGGAGGTTCATGGGTAGTTGTAAGTGGGAAAAAGTCCCCCAATATGGGTGACAACTGTTGTTGCCCTCCTTGTGTAGGGCATGAGTATACAAACAGCAACGCAAAGATCTACCGGTCTTTTGGTCCAGACCCGGGATTATGATTCCTGGGTAGGGGCCCGAAATCCAGTAAGGTCCAAATCCACACACATGGATCCGATGAAGTCATACTCGGAGCATTGACCTGCAGACATGAAGGCAGAGAGAGGGAGACGGAGAGAGAGCCACACACACATATATATATATATATATAGATATATATATATATATATATGTGCACCCAGGCTTACACACATATATATATATATATGTATGATATTTTGATCTGTGTATACAATTCACAACAAGACTTCAAGAGAGGTGGAGAAGGTCCGAGAGAGAGAGAGAGAGAGCGCGCGAGAGAGAGAGAGAGAGAGACGGAGACAGAGGGAGAGAGAGAGACAAAGAAAAGCCCTAAACCCTCTTCGTGCGCAGATCTCGGTATGCAGTCTGATTTATCTCTCGGAATATCCCTTTACAGTGAATGTATCCTCACATAGAATCGTGACGATTCTAAGACTGCCCTTGATACCTGAGCCCGTTCGTGGTGTCTCCACAAAGATTTTATGGCCTCAGATTACCTCAACCCCACCTAGGGGCAGTCTTCATGAGTAGCTGTTGAAGTTCACAACTAGTCTAGACGAGCGGATTGCAATTCAACCAGACGAAGATTCTTTCCCCTCTTAGAGGTTGTACTTTGGGGTATTTGTGTTGTGTGGGTCTTCATCTTGATGCATGTTTCACGTTGTTTGCAGACCTCGCACCACATGCCTCGCCTGGAGCGTCCGAGTCTGAGCGCCGAAACCCTAATCCCTCCTCATGCCCCTCGCTAGCAAGGGTTTAGGGTTTGGGGTTTAGGGTACGTACCCTAAACCCTAGACCCTAAACCGAACCTCGCCTAGGCATGTCCGAGAGTGAGTGCTGAAACCGTAGAGAGGAGAGCAGAGCGAGCCCAGGGCAGGCAGGGAGGTCTTTAGTGAGTGGATGTCGTGCCTAAGGCCGCTGGACAAGAGTTGGATGGCCCCTGTGGCTGAGTTTATTCAGGGTTTAGGCTTTAGGGGCAGATCTGCTGTAATTTAGGGGCCTTAAAAATTAGAATAGGGTTTGGGGTATAATATGCTACAGTTAGAATAAGGAACCCCCCAAAACCCTATTCTAATTATTAAGGCCCCTACATTAGGGTTTATAGGATGGTGTACGGTTTAAAGGGGCGACTTAAAGAGGCGACTAGCACACTAGAGTTGGGGACGGTATTTCGGATGCAGGATGCAGGTACGACATGTCGAGTGCCTCAAGAAAGCACTCCTCATGTCAATGATGGCCCTTCTTGGTATCGCTTCAACTGTAGGCCTGCGGTGCATTCGCCGCCTAAAATCATGACAAGCCCTTGGCTGCTACCGTTTGCTCCGCGAGCCACAGTTCCCAGCCCTAGATGTTTGGCACTTGGATTCGATCTTCCGTCCCACCATAACCTGGTGTCTGTACTTGTTTACCTGTAGCCCCAAACGTACCAGTAGGTTCCGGGATGTAAAGTCCCCGATATCCCGGGACTTGCAAGACTGCAACGAAAGACTTCTCATCGCTGCTGCATGCCGCATCACATCTCCAGCAACTATCTTCTTGCCACGCGCTTAGATCGCAGCTTCCGGTCAAGATTGCAACGATGCATCGATCTACCAATCGCCATCAGATGTGTCGTGTCAGCAGCACCGTCATGGCCGCGGCCTGTGTGCTGTGTCATCATCATCGTCATAACCATCATCATCGTCATCGTCGTCGCCAACATCGCCCGCAGCATGTTGAGTTTGAGAAGGGCACTGCACCCGATGCCGCGGAGTTTGTTTTGTCTCCTTGACCCTTCTCGCTCAGTCCGGCGAGCCTGCCAAGTTGCTAGTCACCATGGTGCAGCATTTAAGTAGGCTTCCCCTTCGACATACCTGCTTTGGGATGTAAGTAAGGCTATGGAGTCGTAGAGATCCGGGCCCCCCGTGGCAGAAGAAGTAAACTAAGTAAACCCATGTGGCAGGTGTGGCAATCGGCTTTCGGGACATCGTTGGGCAAACACCTTTGCTTCTCAGCTCGAATGTACAAGTGCAGCCCCCTTTAAACGTGTCACAAGGAACCCGAAGAGCACATCAGTGTTGTCGTCTTTTGGCTCACTGCTTCGAAATACGGCCGACAGCACAGCAAGGTGTCATGTCGGCGCTCCAATAGTTAAACCAATGAAAGCTTGAGTGGTTACAGATGTCTTACTTTTGTCGAGTTCATGAACCATGGTTTAGGAATCAGAGGCTTCGGCGATTAGAAGGTATAAGGGCTTGGGATTTGTGGAATGAGGCTTGAGGGAGCCTGGTACCGGTCTAAAACCCGGAAAACTAATTTGGGGAAGGCTCAGTGCAAGACAGGCATCAGAGGCTTGGAGGGTGCGCTGTCAGGCACATCGCCGCACGGCACGGTTATCCTCTGATCTGCTGCTTTCTGGCGCACCATGTGCCAAGCTGGAAAGATGTGTGCCTTGGAATGAAGAACCTTAAGCTGAGCACAGTGGTTGCTGCTGTGGCCGCTATTTCATGCATGGTGTTTGAAGCTTAGTGCTTTAAGACTTCGGTGCCTTGTGCTTGATGTCCGCTTATGGTTGTCGTTCAGATCCAGAGCTCTTATGTGTATAGATATATATATATATATAGAGAGAGAGAGTATGCACACACTTCTTTGCATGTATATATATATATGTTGATCTAATCAGTCTTGTTTATTTTTAGTTCAACACGTGTGTTGTATTGTTATTAGCTTGCTTATATTTCTTACTTATTTTCGCAGTGCTGGTACTGCATTATATCTATTAGACCGACGCCGAAACCTTGTTCCAAGTGCTAAGGGCCCTATAGCAGAGGAGCCTTGCGGGATCCGTGCTGGTATCCTTTCAGAGAATCCCTCAATGAAGCCCTGCTCCAATTACTACAGCACCAATATTGAGTTCTGCCACTTCCTCTTCAGCTGCAGGATGGACATTAACAACTGCCGGCCAGTGGACGTTGCGACTTGGGCCTTAGACAGGGCTCAAAAGATTTCTTATAGGGTGTTTGTAAGGGTTCCTCTCCGCGTTCTTTGAAGGGTTGCTTCAAGGGTCGTATTCTGACGGGGCCTGAACATTTCAAACATGAGTTTGGAGTCTGGGGGATCTGTCACAGTAGTTGCAGTAAGGACAAGGGAGAAGGGAAGACTATGGATTTACGGATGCGCCCCAGCATGAGCATATCGCCCCTTAACTGCGCGCCTGTAGTTCTCAGATGTTTTTCTCCGCCTTGCTCTCTCTCTCTCTCTTCTCTTTCTTTGCTTCTCAAAGTTGGTTAACGCATATGATCTGTTCTGGGAAATGTGGCTCACATCTTGTTGGTCTTCGTTGTGAAACACCCTACTCCTGTAGCAGTGGGCGCGGACACTTAGCCACATCCATGTCTGAAGCCGTGAAGCACAAAGCCCTCAACCCTCGACAGAGCCACAGGCCGTGAGCTAGAATCGGTCAGAAAGCACGTAGCCGTACGCAACAAACTCTGAGCCTGTTCTTTTCCTTCTCATCCATGTATGCTCTTTACATATATATATATATATGTATGTGTAATTATGTGTATATATAGGTGTTTTAGATATATGGGTGTATACATATATACATAGGTAGATATTCATGCGTGCATATATTTCTATAGGCGTGTATGTATGTATGTATGTATGTATGTATGTATGTATGTATGTATGTATGTATGTATATATATGTGTGTGTACATACATATGTATATATATATATAAAGCACATACATACATACATTACATTACATTACACTACA